CATGTTTGTAATCTCACTCAAGGACCAGAAAAGAAGCCCATTCTCCAGACTGACACTGTACACACAGTGTGCCAGAGGTGCTGGCTTTCAAATGAGATGGGAAGTCCCATCCAACTTTTATCCCTAATTAACATCACTAGGGACATATTATCTGGACATCACATCATTGCTGTCTGTGTGCAACTTAGCTGTCCCATTTCCTCTACATACGAGCAAATAAATTTCAAAGTATTTGTAAAGCGCTTTGTGATGACCTGAGATATGTGCTACAGAAATGCAGATTCATTCTGTTAATCCATCATTTCAAAGAGCAGCCCTGCTTACTTCAGGCTGATTTACTATGCAGATAAGTTGTCCATTCTGTGTACTTCGGTTTCCAGAATCCATGAGAAATCTGTAAGTCAAGGGCCATGAGGAGCTAGCTTGGTCAGGGCCATCTCTTCCACCGTTCCTGAAGATGCCTTCCTTCCTTCCTTCCTTCCTTCCCCCCTTCCTTCCTCTCGTGCTGCTGTTAGCTCTTTGCTCTGCCTCTTGTCTCACTCCTGACACAGTGACTGATTACAGAGCAGGGCCATGAGGAACACTGATGTTCAAAGTTCACTCCAGGAGAGTACGAGGGCAGTGTTCATTGCTTATCCTGAGTTGCCCTGAGAAAGTGGTGGCCGTAATTTATAGAATGACAGTTTCTGAGTGGCTTACAAGGCAGTTAAACCTGAATAGGAGCAGGAGTAGGCCATTCAGCCCTTTGAGCCTGCTCCACCATTCAATACAATCACAGCTGATCACCCAACTCAATAACCTGTTCCCACTCTCTCCCCATACCCATTGGTCCCTGTATCCCCAAGAAACATATCTAACTCCTTTTTTAAAATATCCAATGTTATGTCCTCAACTGCTTTTTGTGGCAGAGAATTCCACAGACACAGCACTCTCAGGGTGAAGACGTTTCTCCTCATCTCAGTGCTAAATGACTTGCTGTGTATCCTTAGCTTGTAACCACTGGTTTTAGACTTCCCGTTCATCAGGATCATCCTTCCCACATTTATCTTGTCTGTACATGTTAGAATTTTATAGGTTTCTGATGTGGGACTAAAGTTATAAAAGCCTCTTGTATTCCCCTGGATTATGTGAATTGATCTGTACATGGCTGGGTGGTCTGTACCATTTCAAAACTTTGACTGAACAAACAGCTTGATATATTAGTGACCCAATTCAGGTTTGATGACCGTCTAACAGCTTCACAGTCACATTTGTTGATGTGAGTTACCTTTTTGCTCCAGACCTTATGAAATGGAATTCCATTGGGATTCCAGCTCACGTTCTTTAGATGAATACACACACTTGGAAAATCAGCCTGCCACAGCACACTCCATTTCTTCCCGGGAATGTGGGGTTGGAATCCTATCCCCAATGGGGAGTTGATTTCTAACACTTTCCCTGTACTTTTTAATCCCAAGGGTGAGCCGGGAAACCCTGGTGAAAAGGGCGCCCAGGGAGATAGAGGCCCTCCTGGGATATATGGAGGGTATTCGGGCAAGAGCAGTAGTATGACCATGCCAGGACCTCCAGGTTCTCCCGGAGAAAGAGGATCCCCCGGACCCCCTGGACCCGCAGGTCTTCCAGGAATGCCAGGAGCACCGGGAACACCAGGAACAGCGGTAAGGAGTTCAAATCCAGCCTGCACCTCCGTGACAGTACATTTTCTGTGAGAAGGACAATGATTGTGTCAAAGGATACCAGCATTTCTCTTGGGAAAGACTGATTCATGGCTCGCGCTCCCTCCACTGTGGATCAGCTTTCCCCCTCATCTTTCCCATTAGTTTCATTGGAATCTCTCAAGGCTGGTGGTTTACATTGGGATGGTGCCACAGGAAGGCACTTCTGGTGCCTGTGCTGGACGGGATCAAAGGGAGAAGCCCCACATGTGTAACAATAGGAAAATAGGAACAGGCTATTCAACTGCTCGAGTCTGCTGCACCAGTCACTTCGACCAAGACTCAGCACCATTTCGATCTCATTCACCTGCTTGGTTTCCACAATCCTTACCGGGAGAACCGAGCACTATTTAAATGTGCAGTTGTGATGCCACGAGGCTAAGGGTCATGTGTTAGTAAATTGGATTAGAATAGTTGGGTGGCTGTTTTTCACTGGCACAGTCTTGATGGGCCAAAGGGCATTTTTCTGTGCTGTACATCTGACCTAATAAAAACTAACGGACCATTTCAATTGTCCCCTAGCATACCCAGTAATTTGGGGGAGGGAATTCTGAATTATCACTATCCAGTTTCCAGAAAAGTCACAAATAGCTAACATTTCCCATCCAGAGGAAGAGTTTGGCTTCTAGGCTGTAAGTTTCATTAATGTACATGTATTGACATTGTATCTGCCCATCAAATTGTCACCAAATAGTCTCGCTTCTTTACCATGTTCCCTAGTACAATCCTTCTACACAAACAGAAATAGTAAGAACTGCAGATGCTTGGAGTCAGAGATAACACAGTGTGGAGCTGGAGGAACACAGCAGGCCAGGCAGCATCAGAGGAGCAGGAAAGTTGACATTTCAGGATGTTTCTGAAGAAGAGTCCAGACCCAAAACATCAACTTTCCCACTCCTCTGATGCTGCCTGGCCTGCTGTTTACACAAACAGAATATTCCCTTGGTCTGAAAATCATCCTTGAACTGAAATGTTAACTCTGTTTCTGTCTCTGCCGATGCCTCCAGGCCTGCTGAGTTTCTCCAGCATTCTCTGTGCTTGTTCCATATTCTAATGACTCTGGGTAAAGATGCTTCTACTGTTGGATTTATTGGAGACTCACTGTTCAGTCTTTTCTGAAATTTGTAACCTTACAGCTCTGGGGTCATCCTTGTGTGTCATTTTTGCACCTTTTCCAGTGCCCCGTGTATGTTTGGTTGTATGGAGACCAGAAATATGGAGCCTGTGTGGGTGTTTGAAATGCCTTTATCTTGAGCGTGGAGGGGAACAGATTGAGATAATTGACCAGCATAAATTAATGAGTGATGATGATAATCCTCTGGCATTTTCATTATTTTGTGTGCCGTTGGGTAGTGTTCTGTAATTCAGTGATGAACTTCAGTTAAAGCTTTCATTCCAAGTTATTTCATGGAGATGTTCCTTCATTCTTTTTGTAAGCCTGTTCCATAATAATGTAAATCATTGCAAGACATTTCATCATGCTGGGGTCCTATGCCAGGGAGAGTGATATCGTCTGTTTGTGTCATGTAGTGAAACTGCTAATCTCTTTCTAAGCGTGCTTACAATTCTTCCACATTAGGAGAACTTTCCCTAATGTAGTTTCCAGACGGAATTCCCGGTGTAACTACTCCACTCAATCTGAAATAACACCGTTATCTCCGATTCCCTCCCACAGGCTGAAACTGTTAACTTTGATGAGATCAAGAGGTTAATCAGACAGGAAGTCACAAAAATCTTTGACGGTGAGTGAACTTTTCTGTTTTCCTTCGTCCCTGTCAGTTCACACATCAGAACTCTACAGTCTGGACAATTTAGTAATTGACCATCTGCATTTTGCTGAACAGAAATAAAAACCTCTGGGGGTGGGGGAGAGGGTGCTGGGAACTGATTTGCCAGGGTTGGAGAAACACGAACTCGGATCCCCCATACTCCCGATTTTCTGAGCTGGATCCGAAAGCTGTGAGGATGCAGCTGAATGTGAACCAGGGTGCTCTGGCCACCCCTCACCTTGTGTAGGAGGGGAGGATAACCTCATCAAGTTTCACTCGCACAACATCCTGGGAAAAGGGGTGGGAGCTGGCACTGGTAGCAGCTGGTGTGCAGTCACCCATCACTCACTCCCCTTCAGAAGCACAGGAGGAATATAACCCATCTGCCATCTCTTTATACCAACAACAGAATGGATACCCTATCCCAGGCAGAACATTACTCCATTGTATCCCTCTCCCTCATATGGGCTCAACCCTCTCCACGGTTAAAGAGGAATAACTCCTCCCTCCCACCCTCTACAATATACAAGTGTCCCAGTGCCGCTGAGGTCATTCTTCTTTGCCACTGCTGAGGAAACAATATGACATTACAGTATGAAATGCAAGAACATAGGACAAATGAGCAGGAGTAGGCCATTCAGCCCATCAAGCATGCTCCACCATTCAATCTAATCGTGATGGATCTTGGGTTTCAACTTCACTTTGCTGCCTGCCTCCCATTTCCCATGTGATTCTGAAAGACCAAAAATCCATCAAAATCAGTGTTCATGTATTTAACAAATGCACTTTAGAACCAATGCTCTTGATCTGGTGTGGCCAGGGTCACAGCATTGAGTCCCAATGTCTCCTTTCCACGTTCCACTGGGATTATTCCCAATGTCCTATAAGGAACGGAAGTGGCGAGTACAGGCCTGCAGGTGAGCCTCCCCTAGAAACGCAGACCCCAGCCATCTCCGGTTGTGGGTTTCCAAGGTGTACCCATCAATTACAGGTCTTCACTGGAGGTTCAGTGATCAGGAGAACTGACTGCAGTTCACTCATTGGCCTACGTTCTCTTTTGCAGAAAGAATGGCGTACTACCTAGCCCGAATACGTACTCCAGATTCAACCAGCCCAGGAAGGCCAGGACCCCCTGGTAAAATTGGACCTCCTGGTCACCCGGGGCAGCCAGGCCAATCTGGATTACCTGGACAACCTGGAAGAGATGGACGGCCTGGGTTACCTGGGCCAAAAGGTATACTTTATCTTAAACATTTATTTAGGGAGCTGTGTTCATGTTACATTCCAATCAGTACATGTATGTTCTGTGTGTATGTATGACCTCACATCCAGCCCCTTCACAGCACGGACAACTTGTCTCCATGTGAACTGAAGGCTGTTTTAACTGATTTTAAAAATGGCAGTTCCTCAGTGAGTAGGGCAACATCAGTGGAGGGACAGGGTTCTACTTTCAATTTGACGGTTCTTCTGGAAGTGGAAGAAAATGAACTCACCTTTTAAATAAACTGGAAACGAAACAGACATTACTATCCACCAAATAGAAATTCACCGAAAGCTGCAGTTAATTGAAGGAAGTTTTTGTTTTCAGTAGTTTGATCTTGCTGTGCTGGAAGACTGTTCTGGAAAGGCATAATAAATTAAGCCATTGCCCATCAAAAGATTGACAATGAGCAGAGACTAAACAACATTCCATCTGCTGTGTTAATCCAGTGTTTAAATAAATGGGTACCAAAATCTTCAAAGAGAAGTTAAATGATGAGTCCCATTCCTCAGCTGGAGAACGCATTGTGATTGGAATGTCATAGAGACATCTTCACCAATCTCCTAGTCACTAATTTGCAAGAGCCAGAACATCCCACAGTTTGTGCTAAGTTAGCGCAACCACTTTAGGGGAGGCAATGGCCTCATGATATTATCACTGGACCGTTAATCGAGAGACCCAGATAATGTTCTGGGGACCCGGGTTCAAATGGTGCAATTTGAATTCAATAAAAAATATCTGAAATTAAGAATCTAATGATGACCATTGCCGATTGTCGGAAAAACCCATCTGGTTCACTCATATCCTTCAGGGAAGGAAACTACCATCCTTACCTGGCCTTCTTGTGACTCCAGACCCACAGCAATGTGGTTGACTCTTAACTGCCCTCTGGGTGATTAGGGATGGGCCATAAATGCTGCCTAGCCAGCAATGCCCTCATCCTGTGAATGAATAAAGAAAATAACTTCCCTTATTGTGGTTAATGGGAGCAGTGCAGAGGAGCTTTACTCTGTATCTAACCCTATGCTGTCACTGTCCTGGGAGTGTTTGATGGAGACAGTGTAGAGGGGGCTTTACTGTGTATCTAACCCTGTGCTGTCCCTGTCCTGGGGCATTTATGTCTGGTTTAAAATAATAGAAGAAGCTTCACTTCCACTTTAAAAAAATACTCTGTATCTAACCCTGTCCTGTCCCTGCCCTGTAGAGGAGCCTTTACTCTGTACTGGTCCAGTGCTTTATCTGCTTCCAGAGTCTTTGAAGAGTTGAATGATTACTGACAAACTGCCCAGTTGAATAATTTGCTTCTGTTTACAATGTCGGGACGTTTTCAACTCAGCCCTTAAGAAGTTGTTGAACTATATTTTTGCTGCAGGTCCGAGCGGCCCAAAGGGAGAGCAAGGTGAAAATGGAGTTGGCCATCCGGGTGAGCCAGGTGCACCGGGCCCTCCAGGTATGAGCCGTTTACTCTGGGGAACAGACAGCTTTGTTGTGGTTTGCTGTCTAAAGAAGGTTTCTGTCACAGCAGCTTGGTCGTGACTATATCCTTTGGAGAGCTGTCATTTTAAAGGGGTGTCATTTCTGACAGAAATCTGCTGATATATACAATACAGAAAGCGATTTGTTGAATCAGTTTTGCAACAGCCCAGATTAACTGAATCATAGGATCCCTACAGCAATGGAAGCATTCGGCCCATCGAGTCTAGCCCTACCCTCCAAGGAGCATCCACCCAAACCCAACCTCCTTACTCTATCCCTGTAACCCCGCATTTCCCATGGTTAACCCACCTAACCTACACATCCCTGAACGCTATGGGCAATTTAGCAATCCAATTAACCTGCACATCTTTCGACTGTGGGATTAAACCGGAGCACCCGGAGGAAACCCACACAGACACAGGGAGAATGTGCAAACTCCACACAGACAGTCGCCTGAGGGTGGAATCGAACCCGGGTCCCTGGTGCTGTGAGGCAGCAGTGCTAACCACTGAGCCACCCATTACATCTGGATTGGGTTATCAAGTCTGGATTTCTGGGACTTGCATCCATCCTCATAATTCCTGATGGCAGCCAGATGATCTGGATCAAGAGAGGCAAAGCTGAAGTGTGTGAATAGCAGACCTTCAGGCTGCTATCCACTAAGCTGCTATGATAAAGACCTGTGTGAAGGCCAGACCTATTGATGGTCAGATGTCTTGGCTAACCTTATGGAATTATGTGAAGGAGGGGCTGAAAAATAGTTAAGGGTAATTCAGTAGATATCATAAACCTGGGAATTCAAAACTCCTTCAGTAAGGTAACTTGTAACTTGTCAAGAAAGGGAATAGGGATAACCCTGGGAATTACAGACTAGTGAGTCTTTCTTCTGTGGTGGGCAAATTATTAGAGAGGATTCTGAGAGATAGTATTTATAATTATTTGGAAAAGCACAGTTTGATTAGAAATAGTCAGCACAGCTTTGTGAGGGGCAGGTCATGCCTCACAAACATTATTGAATTCTTTGAGGATGTGACAAAACACTTAGATGAAGGTAGAGCAGTGGATGTGGTGTATATGGATTTTAGCAAGGCATTTGATAAGGTTCCCCATGGTAAGCTCATTCAGAAAGTAAGGAGGCATGGGATTAAGGAAATGTGGCTGTCTGGATACAAAACTGGCTGTCCAATAGAAGACAGAGAGTGGTAGTAGATGAAAAGTACTCAGCCTGGAGCTCGGCGACCAGTGGTGTTCCGCAGGGATCTGTTCTGGGACCTCTGCTCTTTATGATCTTTATAAATGACTTGGATGAGGAAGTGGAAGGATGGGTTAGTAAGTTTGCCAATGACACAAAGGTTGGTGGAGTTGTGGACAGCATGGAGGGCTGTTGTAGGTTGCAATGGGACATTGACAGGATGCAGAGCTGGGCAAAGAAGTGGCAGATGGAATTCAACCCAGAAAAGTGTGAAGTGATTCATTTTGGAAGGTCGAATTTGAATGCAGAACACAGGGTTAATGGCAGGATTCTCGGCAGAGTGGAGGAACAGAGGGATCTTGGGGTCCATGTCCATAGATCCCTCAAAGTCGCTACCCAAGTTGATATGGTTATTAAGAAGGCGTATGGTGTGTTGGCTTTCATTGGCAGGGGAATTGAGTTTAAGAGCCGCGAGGTTATGCTGCAGCTCTATAAAAGTCTGGTTAGACCACACTTGGAATATTGTGTTCAGTTCTGGTCACCTCATTATAGGAAGGATGTGGGAGCTTTAGAGAAGGTGCAGAGGAGATTTACCAGGATGCTGCCTGGACTGGAGGGCAGGTCTTATGAGGAAAGGTAGAGGGAGCTAGGGCTTTTTTCATTGGAACGAAGGAGCAGGAGAGGGGACTTGATAGAGGTTTACAAGATGACTAGAGGCATAGATAGAGTGGATAGCCAGAGACTTTTTCCCAGGGCAGAAATGACTATTACAAGGGGGCATAATTTTAAGGTAATTGGAGGAAGGTATACAGGAGATGTCAGAGGTAGGTTCTTTACACAGAGAGTGTTGGGCGTGTGGAATGCGCTGCCGGCTGTGGTAGTGGAGTCAGATATATTAGGGACATTTAAGCAACTCTTGGATAGGACATGGATGGTATTAAAATGTAGGGTATGCAGGGTAGTTTGATCTTAGAGTAGGATAATAGGTCGGCAGAACATCGTGGGCCGAAGGGTCCGTACTGTGCTGTACTGTTCTATGTTCTATGTTCTAAAATACTAGTGACTACAGTCTGAACATGGCAAAGTTGTGGGGTGAGAGACTAACAGTGAGCAGCAAACTGACTGTGAACCCGGAAGGAGTGAGTAAATGTTAATGATACACAAGCTGATGTAGGGCAGTAAGTACTGAGACTGTTTTTGTGTACTATTTACATTACTGATTTGGACTTTGCAATTGGAAATATCATTTCAATCTTACCAGATGACAGAAAATTGGGTGGAGAGGATATCACTAATTTTCAAAAATTATTTATGATGTATTTATCAATGGGAGGTCAGTGATTCTGATAAGGCCAGTGTTCACTTTCCATTCCTAACATGTTCTGCCTTGAATAGCCACAGTGTGGATGGTGTAAAGCACCCTTGATGATCGTAGGAGGTTCAGTGATGATAAGGGATCAGCGGTACGCTTCCAGGTTAGGGATACTGTGCTAATACTGAGCTAAATGAGGACAAAAGACAAGCAAATGATTGATACAATTAAAGATTGCTGAGTAAAAGGCAAACTGAATGTCCAATTAGATAAGTGTGAGATGGTGCACTTTGGTTAAATAAATGAGGAGGTGCGCTCTCCCTGGAAATTGGGGCAGACAAGCAGGAGGAACCAAGGGCCACAGGTCTACCAACCATTAAAATGCAGGAATTGAAAAGCAGTGAAGTTTTGTCTATGTAGATCTTAGTTGGACTGTGGTGGGAGAACATTGAACCATTCTGGCCTCTCAACGTAAAAAGACTTCCATACTTTTTAAAAATGCCCATCACGACCATAGGATGTCCTGGAGCACTTTTATGGCCACTGAGGAATATCATAGTCTATAAAAAGAAAATTGGAGACCTTGCAAAATGGCACACCAGTTCTTCTCAGGATGATGCTGGAACTTAGAGGTTGAGACTAAGCAAACCAGGATTCTTGACTCTGGAATAGCAAGGACTGAGAGGTGGCCTGAGAGCTGGTTGCTTAAATAACAAAAGTGTTGGGTAGAATAGACATTGATAGACATTTGCTTTAGGAAAGTAATGGCCTTAGAGAAAGGATAGACAATAACAAATCCAATAGACTTACCTGATGATGATGATGGGTTAATAACAGTCTGGAATGGTAACTGTTTAGTGCAACTACACCATTTTAAGAGGGCTTCCTGCCAGATGTTCAAAGTGTCTGTTTCTGGTGACAATGCCCTTCAAGGGGAACTTTGAAACCATACAGAAGGATCTGAACCAGTATTTTAGATATGTACTGGTAGGAGCCTGCAGTGTGCAGTTTCTGACCAGGCAGAAGGGGGAATGGGAGTAAGAAGATTAGCAAAAACAAGCTTGAGGTTATTTTAGTGTGACCCAGAGGAACTGGAGAGTATCCCCAGGATCTGTGAAATGAAAATGAGCTGCTTCTATCTAAAGACACCCACCATCTGCAACCAGAGACTCTCATCCCTACCCCAGCCCCCAATTCACCTCACCTCACCTCACTGGCAGTCAGGTTAATGTTGTGAACTCAAGCCAGTGAGCTGCAACATGACCCTTCTTGACCTTCTGAAGCTTATCTGCTAGATATTAATGAAAACAGTCGGGGGTGGTGTTGGTGGTGGTGGTGGTGGGGAGGGGGGAGCGGGGAGCTGTGGGGTAGTTTAAAAGAGATATGCAAGGCAATTTTTTCTCACAAAGGGTGGTGAGCGCCTGGAATGCATTGCCAGAGGAGGTGGGGGAAATCAGACACAGTAGCAGCATTCAAGAAGCACTTGGATGAATATATGAATAGGAAGGGAATAGAGGGATACGGATCCTGTAAGTGAAGACAGTTTTAATGTGGAAGGGCAAAATGTGTCGGTGCAGGCTTGGAGGGCCGAAGGGCCTGTTCCTGTGCTGTATTGTTCTTTTGTCTCAGTGATGAGGGTGAGAAACCTCTTGCTTGCCATCACATTTGAGCCCTCTGGGTATATGTGATGGTCTTCACTGTTTTTCTCTCTGTTCAATGGGTCTGTTGACCCTAAACTGTTTGAGTTGATGAATGACCCAGTGTTTTGTGGTTTCCAATGATCTCTCTGTTCATGGTCAGGTCCAGCAGGACCCCCAGGATACAGCAAAATTGGCCCACCAGGTCCAGCTGGCCAGCAGGGAGTGCCAGGCATGCCAGGCCCACCAGGACTTCAAGGAGCATCGGGGAAAAATGGGCGCTGCACACCCTCTAACTGTATCATGAGGGTACCTGAGCCTTACAACGTCAAGAATTCAAAAGGACCATCTCATTGGATGAATTAATAAAGACTTTTCATCATTTGCGTTTTTGGGAGGGGTGTGGTTAAAATGTCAGATTTCTCTTTCCTCATTTTATTTTTCAATGAATCACGAGAACAGCTGTTGGAGGGAAGGCTAAGTAATAATTTCAGTACCCAGTGTATTGGTATTTGTACAGCTTTCTTCAGCCTGTTTTCCTCCCTGCAATTAGACCCTGGTAACCTTTTCAAAAACCACCAGGGCTGCATGCTTGGAAGCCAGTGTGTGTCCCTGGGTGTTATGAGACACAGGTCACTTGTTGGGGACATTTCAAAACAGTTTCATTACATGACCTCCCACAGCCCCTCCCACCCACATCATTGTCCATTTAATTCATTAATCCTCACAATGCCCATCTCCTCATGGCCGATGAGGAAGTGAATAGACTCCCCCAATATAATTGGATAATTCTCCTCAGTTCAAAAACCTTGCTCCTCTGACTCCAATATTTTTACCACCTTTTGTCAACAGAACCACTGAAAGGAAGTTGAACAATAAACATGTTGCGTTTTCTCATGATGTGCTTTGTGAGCTTGGCCGTTAACAACTCCAGGGCATTCTTGGAGAGTTGATCACCTGCGCTCGGATAGTGGCTTCAGTTAGATCTGGCCATTTGTGGAAGAAAGTCTGAACTGAGTATGCTGTTTAGCAGCACCCACTGCCCATGTTTGCAGTGTTGACAGATTTGATCAAAAATAAACAAAATGTATCAAGAGTTTATTGATAGACCAGTCCAACAGCCCTCTCTTCCAGTCCCAGATCCTCTCCTTTCAATAATTAACTGCCATGATTCTATTCCCCGTGTTGCCTTGATTATGTGCACTTAATGACACAGTAAACTACAAGGGGACAATTGAATTTAAATATCCCAGAATGAAAGCTTGAATTTCTTGCACGTGCCGACTGTGTACAGTGTGATTTGGAGCTCCCTGCACACAGCACAAACTTACTCACAAATCCAGATTCAGAGAGCTGACGAAAAATGCTACAGCTCTCACAAAAGGTACAGTGAGAGATGTCGTCTTGAACCATCAGATTGGTGCAGTGACCTGTGTTTGTGAGTGAGTATGAGGGTCAATGGGTGATTGGAGGCTGAAGCTGCCTCCACCCAGGAATGGACCCCAGCAACAGGCTGGTGCAGGAAATGTACAAATGAACCTTGGCAGCATGACAAAGGGGAGCAGCGGTTTCAAAGCAGCTCAGAACTATCCAGAGGCAATCCAGTTCAGACACAGATGGATGTAATGTCATTGTGGGTAAATAAAAACAATTTAACTTCTGTATCTAACACTGGGCCCTACCTGTCCTAGGAGTGTTTGATGTGAATTAATTTTAACTTGGCTATCCCAATGATAAGTTGTCACAATCAGATTCCTGGGCCTATTTTACTCTGGATGAGCTTTCTGTTCTCAAACAATTCGGATTATGAAAGCTAGGTGAAGGTGAGGTTCGAATAGCCAGAATGTGCCTGGGAACTGTTCCATTCTCTCACACTGACTTAGCAATATCTGTGCGAGCAGGGAACGTCACCCTGCACTCAGAGCTGATCAATCTCACTCCCTTTCTCTTAATTAAATAGACATTAATTCTCCTTCCATATTTAAGTAGAGGATTGTAAGCAAAGTGCCAGGGGGTCAGAAATTGGGGTTGTTGACTTTCCCATTGCTCTGTGCTATCCCAGTCTCTGTCCCAGCTGTTGGTACAGGCGATGGCTGATTGTAGGTTTCTCATTTTGATGTCTGTCTGCCAGCTCCTGCAGGTACAGGGGAATACTGGTCCTTGTACAGTCAGGCAATCCAACATATAGCTAATGGAAGCAGGTCTTCCTGTCACGCGTGTGCACACACACACACACACACACACACACAAACTGCAGCTCAGTAGTCACCACCCTCAACTACTACCTCCTCTGACATTAACGTTTATCCTGCCAATCCCAGCTGTGTACCAGCTGGCACTGGCAAAGCTGTCAGCCTGAATTAGGAACATTGTCTGATGAAATAGATCCTCACAAATGCATGTTATTGTAACTTCTAAACGTCAACTGTTGGAGAACAGGGAGTTTCTCGAGAGCCCTGTATTGAAGAGCATTAAAGAGAATTTTGACAGAGCTGATGTTTGGAATTGGTTGACTTTCCGTTGTCTGGTGATGTTGAAATGTGATTAATAAGCTGTACCTTGGCCTGTACCACAATAAGAATTGTAATCATGAGTTCCATCACTGTTAACCAGAACACTGCACCCCCCCTCCATTTAAGGTCAGCATCAACTCTGGCCTCAGTCATCCTGCATTCCGAGCATTTCCAGTCTGTTGTGTAATTTCTGCACCTTTCTGATCTGCACCTTTATGACTATAGTGACCAGTGCCTTTATCAATGTCTGGACTATATCGGGTCTGAATGCTCCTGCCTTGCGTCCTCCATAGGAACAGGAAAGGCAGCCACATGCTGCCCACAATTCACAGTGCTCCATTCATTTTTATTTTGTCTTTTATTTCCAAGTGGTGTGTGTTCATTTATATCTCCTGTTGTCCATCACCCCACCATGTCTAAAATAACTTCGCACAACTACCATCACTTCATATCAAACCAGGCCTGGGGTCTCTGCTGCAGTTTAAGTAGGAAAGGAACCCTCAATGAACAAAATTTTAGACACTGCACCCTGGGTCACGCAACCTTTGCCATCTGTGAGGGCAGTTCATCAGGGGCACAAGATTGCTCAGTCATTCATTTCTCAGTCTGACTAGGAAGTATGCTGAAACATGGCCTTTTCCAATACCACACGAGGAACGAACTGCACAGCCACGGGGTGATGAGAAGTGACTGGACGGGAAACAGTTGGACACTGAAATCGTGCAACACAACAGAGGCTGACTGCTACACACTCTAACTGATGAAATGCCAGCAACTGGGAAACAGGCCATCTACAGAGACACCTGCAGTACGGTCCATTTGGAGCAGTAGTCTGGCCAGGAATGTCCCCAGGATCAACTGAGTCATTGGGCCAAGACCCAGTCAGGTCTGAGCTAAAATGTGTGACGGTGTGAAACATATTCAGGCAAATTTTATGCCAAACTGGGAGAGGCTGGCAGAAAGGGGTTGGGGGGGAGGGGTCTGTGTCCACTGCTTTCATGTCAAATCACACCTCCCCACGGACGCACACACACAAACCTCATCCCGCCTCCTTGTCCTTCCGTCTTCCCTGGAGTGACCTATCTCCTCCCTACCTCCCCACCTACACTCACCTTTACTGGCTCCATCCCCGCCTCTTTGACCTGTCTGTCTCCTCTCCACCTATCTTCTCCTTTATCCATCTTCTATCCGCCTCCCCCTCTCTCCCTATTTATTTCAGAACCCCCTTCCCCTCCCCCATTTCTGAAGAAAGGTCTAGGCCCGAAACGTCAGCCTCTCTGCTCCTATGATGCTGCTTGGCCTGCTGTGTTCATCCAGCTCTACACCTTGTTGTCTCACATTCACACTGAGGTCCGCACACACACACTCACGCTCACGCTGAGGTCCGTGCACACACACACACACACATATACACACACACTGTCATTAAGAACCACATACACCCATATGCACACTCCGACCGAGTGTGTGAGGACCCTCTCCGAATTTCATGCACACACAACACCCCTCCCCATCCACACACACACACACCATGTGTCTACATAAAACACAACTTTACTCCCAAAATATCGTTCAAATACAGACAATCTGAGATGCGTTGTACAGTTACATGCGAACTTTATGCATTAAATTGTCATTTCAGAAGATGGCTTTGTATATTCCAGAATCAGTTATTCCACAATTGTTAAAAATGAAGATTAATTCCTTCGGTTTTAAAATACAATGAACAGAGTGAACAGGTGTGAAGTGGTTGATATTGGCATGTTGCCTGTGTATATTTCGTTCCTGATTCACTTCTATTGAAGTGATTGAAACCAGGATTGATGTGATATGATACCACACACTCAATACATACCTCTACACAGTAACCTTTTGTTAAAATGTGGCACTATGCGGCAGCCAAAATCAGCAGAAACCAACATTACAGCTATATCTTGGTATTACACTACACGTGAATCCCTTCTGCTCTCTTGGGATATTTACACCGATGTGTGGCAATTTCATCGACAGACACATTAACGTGATTTTGGAATTCAGTCCTGTTCTGATTCCTGAGCAGAATATTTCATCGTAATGTGACACTATTCCAACAATAATGCAGTTCCAGCTTCCATTGTACACGCAGCACAAAATCAATGGGCAGAAAAGGACAAGCTGGTGCATTAGACCTCTTCCCCTATCTCCATCCTTTGGCTGGTGGTTTTCTGCTCATGCATATTGAAGAGTTTGTGTTCAAGACAAACTGGTCAAGCAAAGTCAAGAACTGCCCCCCTACTCTATAACACAGTTTATTACAGAGTAAGATGAAATACTACAATACACGATAATCAGAGTTATAACCAGTGCATAAGATCATACAACATTGAAATAGAAACAGGAGTAGGCCACTTGACCACTCAGGCTTGCTGTACCATCATGGCTGATCTGACATTCCTCACATCCACTTTCCCGCATTTTTCCTGTAACACATAATTCCGCAACAGCTCAGGAACCTAACTCAACCTGAAATATATACAAGGACTCTACCCTCACAGCTCTCCATGGCAAGGAGTTCTAAAGACTCTCAATTCCGAGACCATGACTTCGGGTCCGAGACAGTCCCACAAGGGGAAGCAACCTCTCAGCATTTACCCTCTCAAGCCCCTTAAGAGGCCTGCCTGCTTCAAAGAGATCATCTCTCATTCTTCTAAACTCCAGTGAGTAGGGTCCCAACCTGTTTAGCCTCTGCTCATATGACAATCCCTCCATACCGGGGATGCCTCCAATGAAATACTATCTTTCCTTAAATAAGAGGACCATGACTGCTCACTGCATTTCAGAAGTGGTCTCACCAGCATCTTGTACAGTTGCAGTCAGACTTCCCTGCTCTTATATTCCAACTGCCTTGAAATAAGGGCCAACATTCCATGAGCCTTCCTGGTTACCTGCTGCGTCTGTGTGCAAGCTTTTTGTGTTTCATGCACAAATATCGCCAAGTCCCTTGGTGTTGCATCTTTGTGCAGTTTTTCTCTGTTTAAATAATACCATTTATTTATTCCTCCTTCCAACTTGAACAGCTTCACATTTTCCCATATGATACTCCAACTGTCACTTCTGAAGTGGGCAAGGAAGGAGAGAGGGTAGTTGAGAAAAGGAAAGATAGAGAAACAAGGAGAAGGGGCAGTGAGGGATGTGAAGAGAGACAGAGACTGAGAGAAAGTGGGGGATAGGGATGGATTTAGAAAGGGAGTTAGAAAGGGAAAGAAGAAAGGAGGGTAAAAGAGAGGGCGAGATAGAGACACACAAAGAGAGGAGAGAGTGAAAGGGAGAGAGTGGAGAGAAGGATAGACTGAAGGAGAGAAATGGCAAGGAAAGGAAAAGGGTGAGGGAGAAAGAGTGAAGAGGGAGAGAGAGAGATATGGAGGGGGCAGAAAGGAGACTTAGGAGATAGAGAGAGAGATAGAAAGAAAGAGAGAACGTGGGAGGAAGAGACAGAGTGAGGGTGGGAGATAGAGAAAGAATGGGGGAGAGAAAGGTGAGAGAGTGGGGAATTTGAGTAAGAGAGAGAGAAAATGAGTGGATGAGAAAGAGAGAGAGGGAGAAAGAGAGGGGCGAGTTGGAAGAAGAGTGAGGGAGACAATATCAAGAGCAGGGCTCAGTTTACAGGCGGAGTTTCTGATGCTGTGCCAGAGGCTGTGATGGGGACCAGCTGACTGTGGGGTCTGTAAATTAATGGGACTTGGCCAGGAGGTCACACTCTGAGAAACAGCACCTGGGCCTGTTCCAGTCCTGTCTTTTGTTTCATTATGATGACAACTTTTCAGAAAATTTCACTTTCAATCCGAGTCCTGTTGTCAAACATCAAAATGAGAGTATGAGGGGAGAGTGTGGAAGGAGAGTGTGGGGGAGAAAATGTAGGAGGAGAGTATGGGGGAGAGTGTGTGGAAGGAGAGTGTGGAAGGAGAGTGTGGGGAAGAGTGTGGAAGGAGAGTGTGAGGGGGAGGGAGGGTGGGGGGGAGAGTGTGGGAGGAGAGTGGGGAAGGAGAGTGTGGGGAGAGTGTGGAAGGAGCGTGTGGAAGGAGAGTGCGGAAGGAGAGTGTGGAAGGAGAGTGAGGAAGGAGAGTGTGGGGGAGAGATTGTGGGGGAGAGAGTGTCGGGGAGAGTGTGGGGGGGAGTGCGGAATGAGAGTGTGGGGGAGAGAGGGGAAGGATAGTGTGGAAGGAGAGGGTGGGGGAGAGAGTGGAAGGAGCGTGTGGAAGGAGAGTGCGGAAGGAGAGTGTGGGGAAGAGTGCGGAAGGAGAGTGTGGAAGGACAGTGTGGGGGAGAGAGTGCAGGGGAGAAAGTGTGGGGGAGAGAGTGTGGGAGAGAGAGTGGTGTGAAAGAGAGTCGTAGGGGAGAGAAGAGGGGAAGAGGATAGAGGGGGAGGGAGTAGAGGGGGAGAGGGTACTGGGGGAGTGTGTGCAAGGGAGAGTGCAGGGGGAGAGGGTGGGGGCAGACAGAGTGAAAGGAGGAGATTGCAGGGTGAGAGTGTGCAGGGAGAGAGAGTGGAGAGGAGAGTATAGAGGGAGAGTGTGCAGGGGGAGAGGGTATCATGTGATTGAGACTCTGCTAGAAGGTTGGAGCTAGGCCTCCTGCTCCACTGAACAATCTGCATGTGGATAATGTGCAAAAACATTGTGGAGAGAAACCTCAAAGTGCTTATCTGAACACACGAACATGCACAAAAACAGAGGTCACAAGGGTAGGAGAGATTGTAGGAGGAAAGAGTACAGGACGAGTGATACAGTGGGGGACAGTGCAGGGGGGAGAAAGTGCAGGAGGAGAGAGTGCAGGAGGAAGGAGCAGAGGAGGAAAATGCACAGGGAGAAAGTGCAAAGAGAGCTTGGACAGTGAAATGAGGGAGTTATGTGAAGGGACAGCAGAGATTGAAGGGGAGTTCAAGTTCAGATGAGGAAAACCCCAAGCCAGCAGTTCCCAGGATCTCTGGCCAGTGCTGGCT